GCAGACATGTATGGGGGGAAAACACTCATACACACAAAATAACATACATTTTTAAAAAGTACATTTTAAATTTTAAAATACATTTTTAAAAAGAAAGTGATGTGCAAGGGGCTTAGTGGTTAAGAGCACTAACCACTGCTCTTGAAAAGGACTGGGGTTTGGTTCCCAGTACCCACACTGGGTGGCTTATAACTCTAATTTCAGAGGATCCAACATCCTTTACTGGACACCTTGGGCTCCTGAATACACATGGTGCATGTGTGTGTGTGTGTGTGTGTGTGTGTGTGTGTGTGTGTGTGTGTGTAAATTTAGAAAAAGAAAGTGATGTGCAAAGTTAGAAAACTATAGATCCTATCATAGAGGCTATTCCAACACATGAAAAACAAACAAAAAGCCAACTGAGTGAAGTGTCAGCTGACACCCTCGACCCCAGCTCCAGAGGGCTGGAAGCAGGAGGACCACTAAATGACTAAGGTCAGCTGAGCCAGGCCGTGAGTCCCAGGCCAGCATGGGCTTCAGAGCTCCTGTTTCAGAAGAAAAACAAAACCAAGAGAACACTAGCTTCATTCAGTTGGTATCCCATGGGGCCTGTCAGATTACAAACGAGGTGTTGTTGTGGTTGTTGTTTTTTGAGACAAGGTTTCTCTGTGTAGCCCTGGCTGTCCTGGAACTCACTCTGTAGACCAGGCTGGCCTTGAACTCACAGAGATCCGCCTGGCTCTGCCTCCCGAGTGCTGGGATTAAAGGCGTGCGCCACCACCGCCCGGCTTACAAAGGAGGTTTTAAAACCTTAATTCTTTTGTGAACAAGTTTTTAAAGATGGTGTCTTACCATCTTGGGTTGGTCTGGAACTGGAGATCCCTCTGCCTCTGCCTTTGCAGTGACGGGATTACAGATGTATGGTACTTTGCTTAACACCAATAATGCTTTTAAAGACTGCAACCAAAACAAACTCCAATTTAAATTTAAGGTATCTTGCTGTGCACTCCTCTAAGAGTTGATGTAGCAATGTGATGTCACTGTGCTTCTGACTCTGTCCTCACTGAGCAACGAACTCCTAAGCTAGGGAGACATGGAAACAGACCCTGCTTTTTCACTTTTAATTTGTTAAACCTGGAGGCTCTTCCTTTGCTTCCCAGAAACTCACATTTCTAATTTGTAAAATGGAATACTGTCACCTAGATCAAAGTATGTATTGCGCCAACACTTAGTTCACTGCCGGTCACACAGTACCTGTTCTGTAAAAGGCAGTAATTGGGGCTGGAGAGGAGGCTCAGGAGTTAAGAGCACTTCTTACTCTTGCAGAGGACCTGGGCTCAGCTCCCAGAACCTCTGAGGTGGTTCACAACCATATGTAGCCCCAGCTCCAGGGGATCCAGTGCCCTCTTCTGGTTTCTATGGGGACTGCATGCATCTGGTGAGCAGGCTTACAAGCAATACATCCCCACACACAAAATAAAAATATTCTTTTTAAACAGTAGAAATTATTATTTTTATTCAGGTTATTGTTTATTATAATCTCAAATTCACCCTTTAACCTTTTCCCAACATTCCCACAGACCCTGACAGTCTTTGGGAAATTATTCACATAGTAGTGAAGTCAAACTATGTGTTAAGTGTCTGGGAAAACAATGTCTACATTAGGGAGGACCAACAAAGAAATAACTGTAATTCCAGCAAACAGGAGGTATGCCATGAAAACACACACCAGGGTTGTCTAATTCAAGAAACCTTTGAAAAACTGTTATTCAAACAGTGTCCTGAAATATGTGAAGACATTAAATAAGAAAAGACAAAATAGGTAATTGAACATACTTATATTCTCAGAGACAAAAGAAAACAGTGAACTCAAAGAACTGGAAAACGACCTACATGATCTGAATAAAGACATCCACGGCAAAGGCTCGTTAGACTCCACGTAGAGACATAAGCAGGACCATATTCTCCAGGCCAAGTCAACCAAGTTAAAGACTGTAAGTTTTCCTGAAGGGCAAAAGAAGCCACTAAGGTGGTTCCTTCCTTCTTCTTTTTTTTTTTTTTTTTTTTGTTTTTTGAGACAGGGTTTCTCTGTGTAGTTTTGGTGCCTGTCCTGGATCTCACTCTGTAGACCAGGATGGCCTCAAACTCACAGAGATCCACCTGGCTCTGCCTCCCGAGTGCTGAGATTAAAGGTGTGTACTACCACCGCCTGGCTAAGGTGGTTCTGAGGGGATTCTGCAATTGAAACACAATGTTGAGATTTCCCAGATAAGAATAAACTCGAGAGATCAAGACTGAACCTAGGGAGGCCGTTTAGAAGGTGTTCTAGCTTGTTTTCCATCGCTGTGATAAAACACCATGACCAAGCTATATGCAGTGGCATACACCAATCCCAGCACTTGGGAGGCAGAGGCAGGTGGATCTCTGTGAAACCAGCCAGGTCTACAGAGAGTTCCAAGATAGCCAGAGCTACACAGTGAGACCCTGTCTCAAAACAAGACAAAACAAACAAACAAAAGACAAACTACAAAAACACCCACCGTGCCAAAAGGAAGGAAAGGGTTTAATCGCCTTATACATTCTGATCACAGTCCATCATGAAGGGAAGTCAGGGCAGGAAATCAAACAGGACCTTGGAGGCAGGAACTGAAACAGAGGCTATGGAGGAACACTACTTACTAACTGCTCCCCATGGCTTGCTGAGCTTGCTTTCTCATCGGCACAGGGATAATACCACAACTGGGCCCATCCACATCAGTCAGGAAAATGTTCTACAGACTTAATAGAGGTGTTCTCTCAATTGAGGTCCCTCTTCCCAGATTAAAAACAACAACAACAAACCAACCAGGACAGAAGGTCTTATTGATTCCAAGTGCAAAGTGAAATAAGCCACAACAAAAGCAATCTTAGTAAGAAGACAGAAAAACAGACCCATTCAAGAAATTTTCATTCATGGAAAAGAATCATATTGAGGGGAAAGAATCAAAGAGATGTGGCTATACCTCATGAAAGCCTCATCTCAAAAACAAATTTGTTCAATAACATGTATCTATTTCATGTTAATGTTTTCATTATCCCCATGCTGAAGATCAAACCCAATGCACTGTGTATTCTAGGCAAGCATGTAGCTCCTGACCTACACCTCTAGCCCCTACAATATAAAAAAACCGCAGCCAACTCCACATTCCTAAAGCAGTGCACAGAGTTAAAACTTAAGGGCATGAGAAATTTATTAAAAGCCTTTGGTAGGCACAGCACACAAGTTTAACATACTGAGAAACTATTTTGGAAACCACATTGGTTTATGGACAGTAATTCTGCACTAAAGATCACTTATCTTTTAACTATTAGATTAGTTATGAGATCTACACTCGATTTGAATTCGAAGAGAGAGGGGGTGTTAATTAGAACACTTCCTTTTCTTGGTGTCACCTTTTGATTCTGAAAGGAGAAGGCTAATTTTTCATCTGTTCCTTTCCCTTTTTAATCTTGTATATAAACCAAGCAAGAGGATTTTATAAGTAAAGCAAAAAATACATAAAACTCTGATACCCGCATAAAAATTGTTCTGGAATAAACACTTGTACACCACTTCCTTCTTAAACAGAACCTACCAAATATGCTTCACTCTTCATTGAGGACATTTATCACCATGTAGCAATTATGAAGGTTCTACAGTAAGTTGGCAGTGACAATGTGGGGGTCTAAAAGGGTGAGAGCAAGGGTTTCACACCTGCTTTCAATTCTCCTTATTACTCTATCACTTATCCCAGTACACTCGAATAAAACAACTTGTTAGAACGGTGTGCTCAGTAAAACGGCTCAAAGCAAAGATCAGAGAAGTCTGCATACACGCCAAGTCTTTGAGCTTTGCCACACAGTGACTTCTCCAGGAAGCATATTTCACCTAGAGCTATTTATTTCACTCAGGTCCTAAACTGGAATGCTTCAACACTGCTCTGGCTAAATCCTTCACGAGCACCCTCCAGCACCACTTTCTCTTAATTCGAAAGGCAGTTAGGAGTACCAGGACATTTAACGAGCAGCGACCTTCTGTCTGATAGCGCCCATTACCACTGTTCAGATCGAATTCGACTTTGCAACATCAGTAGGGAGTCCACTCAAGTGCTTATTAAGTGGAGAGAGGCTGAGGACCTATTATAACTCTGAGGTGGAAGCTGAGAAACATGACCAAACCAAAGTTTTAGCTCGAGGGTGAAGAAATGTAACATTCAACTTCGTGGTTGGCCAAAGGGACCTACCAAACAGTAATGAAGACATCCTGACAGGTGCAGGGACTGTGGGGTTTAAGCAAGAGGGGATTCAAATCTCAACTGCAAAATTCAGCTTGCCACAGTCCACCTCACTTTAGTTTTCTATCTCAACTGCAAAATTCAGTTGCCACAGTCCACCTCACTTTAGTTTTCTATCTGCTGACCTATCTCCGCCACAAGTCATGGTGGAGGCGACAGAGTCCAAAGGGATACAGCAGTATCTTTGCCCTCCGACTTAGGAGCGGAAACTCACCAGTTTCATATCGGACTTTTGGTTGTTCAGTACCAGTCTCTTCACTTCTCAAAGCAAGGGAGCGTCTTCCGGTTCAATCTCCGTCGCCAAGAGCATCGCGGGACTTGGAGTTTTCCCTTCTCACGCACTTTCCAGGAGCATCACGGGAAATGTAGTTTTACTGCAGGCATTATGGGAACTGTGGGCGTCTTTCCTTTTCCTCTCTTTTCTCTCTAAACGCCTCCTTCCGTCTGCTTAAATGTATCGCCGCCGTCAATTCATCCTTCCTTTCCGTCCCAGAATGATATCATGACCCTCATCCCGGTCTGGAATCCATGGTATTCTGGGATATGTAGTCCGCACGGCTCCAGTTCCCGGCTCCCCTCCTCCCTGTGGGAATGCGTATGGGCGCAGTGCCTGATGGAACCTGTAGTTCCCTGGGGCCTCAGACCCTGAGCTGTGTGCTTTTCCTCTAGGGAGCCAGAAACTACAACTCCCAGGGATGCCCGGCGGCAGCAGGTGGGAGCGGGGCTGTTGCTATCAATATGGCGGTTGTCAGCCAGACAAAGACAGTCAGTCTGATGTGATTGAGACAAGGGAGGTTTTCAGGGGGAGACTGGGAGATAGGGGGCTCCCCTCCCCCCTCTGTTCTTCCTGCGCGGGCCTGGAGCCCTCCTCAGCCCCTCCCGCCGGGCGCCCCGCGGTGAAGATCCCCTCCCCCTCCCGTCTTCCTCCTCCCTCCCTCAGCCTTGCTCTGGGACGCTGGGGAGGGGGCTGAGCCGGGCGCAGAGAACTCAGCCGGGTTTCCGAGGTGAGTGGGGTCGTTTGCGATCCGGACTGCCTTAAGTCTCTTTCCCCACTTCTTTCATTACTTTAAGGGAGAAAAAAAAATGTTTTGGAAGGGTTTTGGGGGAGAGAAAGTGAGTAGGCGCCACAGATGGGTCTCTGGAGTGGCCAGGCTGGGGGTAGGGGGGAGCCCGCGAAGCGGGGGCTCCCGAGGGGGCGGCGGTGCGCCGGCTATGGGGTGGGGCAGTGTGTGAGGGGCGGGCGTAAAGAGGCGACGACGGTTCCCTAACTTCTCTCTGGTCTCCAAGACCGGCGGAAGGTTTGAATTCTGGAGGTGGGGTCTTCCTGCTTGCGAGTTTGAGAAACTGTGAGGTGGTTTCGAGGTGTGCTGGTTTGTTTGGGGAGTGTCTCGCTGTGTTTTAAACTGTGACGTGTACTTGGGTGCTGGGCTCGTCTTGAAGGAATGTCTGTAGATGGTAAGTTAGATAGCTGGAGTCGAAAATAAGCGGCCTGGGCTTGGGAAGCATGCGTGAGTCCCGGGCTGGACTTTTGCTCTGTGGACCTTGTGCAGGGTTTGGGGGCGTTCAGCAACTCAAAGTGTCTGGTGGCCGGCTCGCACTCTGTGCCCTCCTCTGGGCCAATCTCCACCCCAAACTCCCGGCAGGAGGACTGTACAGATGATGTGATGTGGAGATGCATCTTTGCCTCCTCAAGTCGGCAGCTAAAGGTGGGAAAGGAAAAGTGTCTCTTAATATTTTATTCCGGAACCGTGTTTTGGTTACACTATTGGGGCTACTTTGAAAGGAGTCCTCCGCCCACTTTCACCCCGAAACAGTAAGTAAAGGTATCTTGTCATCTTCATGCTCAGTGGCTTGCCAATTATTTAAAATTCGGGAACGTGGGGTTGGAAGTCTGGAGTGCTAAACGGCATACTCATCTCTGTCTACCAATGAGACAGAATGTCTGCTGTGTGCCCAGGGGTAGATAGGGCGACTTATTTTCGTAGTTGAAAAAACTGTTGGGAATTATTTTCGGGGAAGAGGCTTGGTGGTGCGCTGAAAGGCGCTGTGTGTATTTTTCTTCTACCCCACCCTGTTCCAGCTCACGTTTGCTTGAAAACTGGTGTGGAAGAGTGAGGAAGCGTTGGGTGAGTGAATCAAGGAATGCACTTAGCAGTAAAGATACACGCTGTGTAAAGTTGAATGATAAAAGTGATTGCTATTCTGTCTGAAGCTTTAGAAAAAGACCTCGTGTGTTATAGAGGGTACAGTCACGTGCTCCTTTTTCTGGGGACCTACAGATAATGGAAATCTTTGCCTTCTCCTTTTCTATCTTTTCTTCCCTTCCTTCCTCCTCCCCCTCCCTCCTTCCTTCCTTTCTTGGCACAGAACATTTCTCTTCCTGATGGACATAATACCTCCTATGCTTTTTTTTGCTTAGTTTGTGCTAATATGGGTTGTGCTTTTTGTGGTTTCACTATAAAATGCATCATTAAGTGAAAAGGACCCGAATTTGTTGTTATTTTGCATTTATGCCACAAGTAATTATCACATCAGGTTTGCAGTGTTTTGCATTAGACTTATTAAAATTGCACAACTAAGTTGCTAGATCTGGTTGAATTATGCTTATAAATCAAGTTTAGGGAATCTGATTTTATTTTTCAATTTTCAATTAGAGTTGGGATGAAACCTCTCTTGTTTCTCACAGTCTTGAATATTTAATGACGTTACACCAGGAGAATTTAAGATCATGCATTTTGTACTCCCTCAGTCCAAAATACAACTTTTTCAATCACCCTCTGACAATTTTGTGGTATCACAGACTTTTAAATAGCCAAAAGAGTAATTGGCATCATTTCTATTTCGACTTGAGAATTTAACATGTTTATATATTTGGTCAAAATGTATCAGTTCTTGAATGTTTCACCTATCAGGAAGGGGCTTTTAGATTCCATAGCATCTGAAAGTCACATGGATACACTGGGATTTTATAGTAGGTTTAGCTTTTGGTTTGAAATTTCTGCTGTTGATCATTCATACAGATAAGGGGACTGTTAGCATGAAGTTGAGCATTACGTATTTAAATTGACCTGAATAGAATTTCATATACAGAATGTGCTGTTCCAAGCTGAGCCTTTGGTTTGTTGAAGACCAGGATTTTCAGAATTACTTTATCTTTAAGCTTTTATCTTAACCCAAAACATTAATTTTCAAAAACTGGAAGAAAATTCCATGTAACAATATTGCTTACTTGTGTTTTTCTGAAATGCATTGTAATAATCATTGAATTCTTAACTGTTTAATAATCATTTTAGACATGACAAACTGAAACTCTCCAGTCTAGAAAAATGAGTGTTTTTTCATCTACTCTTCCTCAAATCTTTTTGTTTATTTTCATCAATGGAAATGTGAAGTTATTTGTGGGAAAAGCATTTGTTAAACTTTTTCTGACTAGCAGTCTGGTTAAAAAATGGCTCCATGTACACCAAATATTCCTTGCATTCATTGAGCTGATTCTGTTGCATTTTGAGCACTGGGGCATTAAAATGATGTAAAGCCTTTACTGCAGGCTAAAGCATAAAACATTCTCAGCATGTGGAAGTCATATGGTTTGCGAAAAAGAGTAGAGAACCAGGGCATTGGTGCCTGTCCAGCTTAAAATTTCATCCTGTAACTGTAAAGACATTTATTTTAATATGATCATTTCTAAAATATGTGGCCTTTATTACGGGAAGTTGAAAATGCAAGCTGTTTTTTAACCAATCTGCTGCTAGTTCTGTGCACAGCATATACGGAACTCTGTTTTAGTTAGGAAAGTGCATTAAGGAAAGGAACCCTTAGCAATGTGTTGAATGCTTTTCCAGAGGCTTTATTTGCACTGCTGGGTGCATTTCATCTTTAGCCCAAGTAGAAACCTAATATCTCTATTTTTCTAAGTTATAACACACATTGTAACAAAGATCTCATTCTTCTATTCTGGCAATTTTTACCAAGTATTGGTGGGTATTCTTGCTTCATTGTATCTTGTATATTAATTTGTTCTTTTTGAGTCTTCCTGTATGTCATATTAGTTCTATCTGTAGTTTCAAAGTTCGTTTGGCTACCTTGTTTCTATCAAAAGCAGGTTTATAGTTGGGTTCATCTGTTTTTCATATTTTGTTCTTTAAACTTGAATTATTTCTCTTGGAAATTACAAATTTATCATAGCATGTTAATTTTCATAAATAGAAGTTGGTGTACTTCTCAACTCTATAAAATGATGAACATTTATAGATCAGTCTTAAAAGCGCCTGGTAAAAATGTGCTGGGTTTTGTTTGTTTGTTCCTGCCTTATGTAGGTATTTTGGCTTCCAGAATCTTAATATTCTGTTCTTCAGCTAGATTTTTCTGTTAACTATGGGTTTTTCTTCTTCTTTTCAATTTAGTACAACTTTATACTGTTATGAACAAAAAGCATAGTATATTCATATCATATATGAATATGTTATATGTGCATATTCATATATACAGTCAAATTTATATGATGTGTGTGTGTATGTGTATCAGACCTACAACCATGAAACAAATCTGACCCACAAAAGGAGACCTAAGAGTAACCACCGTTCATACTGTCCACATTATAGAAACTTTGGCAGTTTCCTTATCATTGTAAACCATCATTTTAACAGATTCTGCCAAAATATAGTTCTCTCAAATGTCAGCCTGTCAGACTGACATTTTTCTCCAACTAGTACTAAATAATTAGTGTGTGACTCAGATTCCTAGACACAGCTGTGCCCAAGATGGCCTTCACTTAGACTGAGAACCCATCCATCATAGGTGCAGAATAGAGACTCTCTCAGTGATTATCTGATGTAAAACTTGTAGGTTTTAGTTACTCACTGTTTGTGGACTTTTCTGATGTAGGGATGCTTTGTGGGTTTATTTTAAAAATATTTGTGAACAAAAGATAAATTGTAATTTAAGTGATTTATGAAGAAGTGGGTTAGCTTTGTTGTTATGGGCTTTTTTTTCCCTATTAAGACAGGTACACCTGACTCTTTTTTAGTGATAAAATGATTCTAGTCCATTCTGAGGCCATTTAGATTTTCATTAGACTGTTGATTATGATTAAAATATTGGCCAGGCGGTGGTGGCGCACGCCTTTAATCCCAGCACTCGGGAGGCAGAGCCAGGCGGATCTCTGTGAGTTCGAGGCCAGCCTGGTCTACAGAGCGAGATCCAGGATAGGCTCCAAAGCTACACAGAGAAACCCTGTCTCAAAAAAAAAAAAAAAAATATATTGACTGGATATATGTCCTGGCTAGGTTTTTTGTCACTGTGACAGAGGTTGTGGTTAAATGGGAAGAGGAACCTCAATTGAGAAAATACCTCAATCATATTGCCTGTGGGGCATTTTCTTGACTGCTAATTGATAAGAGGAGGGTCCAGTTTACTGTGTGGGTAATTCCATCTCTGGGCAGGTGGTCCTCCAAAGCCTAGAAAGCATACTGAGCAAGCCATGAGGAGCAAGCCAGCAATCAGGCCCCTCTGTGGTCTTAACTTAGTTTTCTGCCTCCAGCTTCCTGTTCTATTTGTGTGCCCACCTTAGTTTCCCTGAATGATGGATTGTGATGAGGGAATGTAAGCCAAATAAACCCTTTCTTCCCCAAGTTGCTTTTAGTCATAGTGTCTTTATCACAGCAATCAAAAGCAAACTAAGGCAATATCCTTGGTAGTTCTGTCCTTCTTTTGTTCAGAGACCCACAGGTGATGTATTAGAAACATGAATAAATTTCGTGTTTAAGGAGCAGTATGGAGGTGCAAAGGAAGAGTGACTTTAATGAATATAGTCACATTCTTTTTTGTTTTATTTATTTACTATGTGTAAATAAAGACACCTGCCACGGTGCACACATGGATTTTAGAAGACAACTCACAGGAGTTGGTTCTCTCTTCTTCTAGCATGTGGGTCTTGGGGATTGAACTCAGGTCCTCGGGCTTGCTAGCAGGTGTCTTTACTTGCTGGCCCAAGATTCAGTTTTTA